GATATCGTTATGATATCGAATCGACATAGATATCGTAACGATATCGATTCGATATCATTACGATATTATTGCGATATCGAATCGATATCGTTAGAATTTTAAGGTTTCTGTAAAGTAAACTGTTTACAGATTGGCGTTGTATAACAAGAATATCAAGCGAAAAAGGATTTCAAGAAAGGTATGATGCAAACTCTAACATATCCTGTGGAAAATTGATAATATTATCATGATACGCATATTAACCTTCACGAAGACAATAGACAGAAATGATAGGAAAAATCTGCACAATCAACATTTATTCTATTTTAGTAAATTCTTGTAAAACATCTGATATCATCCAGATCTATGTTATTCATAGCAGAAAACTTTTTTAACGAATTTTTGTCTCCATAATAATGACGACATACTTCACATACAAGATCGATAGACAGAAATTATTCATTACATATAGGCAAAGATGATTTTTAAGACTATTAATCTTTGAGCAAAAGTTTTGTAAGAGTTTTCGATCCGATTCAGAAAGATGATATTCATCAATATTTTGGGTCTAATCTTCATCCTGACAGTTTAAATGCTCATCAATATTTTTAAAACTCTTTTTTTTATTTGCTTTCATTTACGAATTTTACTCAATCATTTCTCATATTGATCTGCAATTTTTGTAGCCTTTTTAATATGTTTATTTTTTCTATTATAGGCACGACAAGCTTCACATTGATCAGATTTTTCATTATCTCCACTTTTACATTTTTGAAGTACATGTTCTGGTATTGTATTTACATTTAAGATAATGAAATTTATAATAGACAAGCAATTACGGTAATTTTTTTTGATTATACAATTTACAAATTTCTTATTTACAATTAAAATATATCAATAAAAATTACGCTTCGAATAATAACTTTAATTAATTATTAATTACAATAATAATAAAAATTAATTGTTGCTAAATGATAAAGTTTTTTTTATTTTTATTGTATAAAAATAATCATTGTATTCAAAAAAGGAAATTTTAATAATAGCTTATTATCGATAAAATTCACATAATTTGTTGTGTATACGTGACTGATTTTCTGGAATTTTACATGTGATTTATTATTTATTATTTATGGCAAATTTGATTGGCTTGGACAGACAAACCTTGCATTGGTTTAGCGTAATCCATAATGTTCTCCGCTACGCTTTGAACAATTAGTTTATTTCTACCAATTTTATAAATATTTACTTCATTATTTGTATCAAAATTAATTTTATAAATAATAGAATCACCTATTACATAGTCTAGACCTTCTGATAGAACTTCTAAAATAGCATAACAATTATACATGAAGTCGAAATGAAAACCCAAAAGTCGAAATATTTCGATTTTAGAGGTCAAAGTCGAAATGAAAAGTCAAAATGGTCAAAATTACGTCATATCACATGATTTTTTATATATAGAAAAACAAAAAAAA